CGCCAGAGTTATCCGATTTCAGCAAGCTTGCAGAGCTTTTTGAAACAACTGAATAACAGTGTTAAAATTCCAAAGCTGAAATTACAAGTCGAGTTTGATACAAATTAAAGATTGTCACTTGAAATTGGCACTTTCCGTTTCCTTTAATTGGGACATAGGATACATACTACTTGCAGAGGGATCTAACCTTTTTTTGCATTAATTGGCTGTCATGCGATGGTTTAGTAATATTTAAGTCTAGTTATCAATGTTGAAGAAGCTTTTTTTCATGCGTTGGTAAATTAAACCATTAGCCCCATCGGCCTTCTCGAAGAGAGTCAGAATTATGGAAACAGATCGAGTCAATCCAAGCATTTAAAACGAGATTCTTTCTAAGGTACCCAACGCTGATGTCATATTTGCATTCCTGTCTACAAAGCGATTTCTGATAACTTTTTTCCCGATGGTACACAATTTGTCAATATTGTCTATAGCTCTGACTCAAACTAGAACGACACACAAAAATTTCGGGCCAGGAATTCCAACTAAAAATAAATTTTGCATCTTTAGGGGGATTGAAAGATAAAAACGAAAACCAGATCGTGTACGCGGTTTTGTTGCATAGGAGAGTTCACCCTTTCTTTAGAAACTAGGCAAAAAGAGCATATCCTTGAGGTCCATCTGAGTATATCTTTTCTGAGTGTTTTCAAAAAATAGCCTCGGGGTTGTAAGCATTTATAGTTATATGGTGTGCGACATCACCAAGATTTGGATAGATGTACAAGAATTTTTATAAAAAAATCTTACCTGTCTGTCTGACAAGGTCAGAATTGGGCTGGAATATAAGACCCCGAATGAAATTCTCTGAAAGCCTATCTTCAAATCTCATTTTTCTTGTTTTATGATATTTCAGTTCTTACAGGGATTCCTGGTTTGCAATCGTTGCTACCAACGGCGTCTCCATATTCTTTTGCATTTGGTGCCAATCCCGCTACGACATTTATACCTCCAACCTTAGGCGCAGGTATTTCCTATGTTTCTTTCTTTTCGTTTACAGCGTAATCGTTCAAATTTCTTCATTTAGATGCGACAGCCCTATCGCAGTATTTGCCGTCTTTAGGTGCGTTGGGTGGTGCTGTCGGTGGCCTCACACCCTCATCGCTTACCTCTCTTCGATTTCCTGTGAACATTCTCAGCATCACATCAGTCGTTCTTGTTTCGAATTTAGATGAAAATGTGAGTCGTTTTTT